CTGACACAATCATAACTGTCCAAGCGCTGCAGCCGCCGCCCATCAAGTTAAAGAAAGGCCCTGATTTACATTTGCTACTTGACCCAGGACTGATCTTCAGCCGGGTCGATCCCAGATATGATTTGAAATCTTGTACATCAGCAGAGAGCGAGGGAGCGCTGCAGGTGAGGTCCCGCGGGGACGCGTCAGCCAAGATAAATAACGCAGGCTTGAATAAATCACCCCTTCATCCCACGGGGCACTTCTTATAAATCAACTCGCACACGGCCCAAAGAAAGATGCATCCACCGTCCTCTGGCCAAAGATGTTATTGTTTGAATCCCCTCGCTGCTGCTCGCCAATTGAAACCCCACCGCAGTTTCATTTAATCTGACAAACATAATCTTCTGAGATTGCCCTTTCCCACTGTGATGTTTGGAAAGCGTATGAAAGACTCACTTCATTGATCCGGAGACACTTTAAGAGGCCTTGTTGTGGGTCCCGTGACATAATCACAAATAGAGCCTCTGCAATAGAATAATATCAAACAATGCCAGTCAGTGAGTGACTCAAGCATGTAATAAAAGCCTAATAGTTTTATCATTGAGGCAGAACTGTGTCGTCCATCTGTGTGTGCGTGTGTGTTGCTGTCTCCCTTCATGTAACCGCAGCAGCTGCCGTCGCTGAGGGGCTATAGATCCAAATAAGATTTGTTTTATAAGGAAAATACAATCAACTCCACTATCTCCGAGGAGAAATTACTATTTTCATTGACAGCCAACAGGTTCAAACATCTCTCACACACATCAGCTCTTCACCTTTCACTGCACCCAGATGGATTTCCCCCTGAGACCAGGTTTACGTTCCTAATGACCAGCAATAATTCAACCATGATTGATCAGTGAAATCGACTAATGAGGTTCAACCAATGAGACAGAGGTGTTCCGAGCATTGTGCCTCCCGGTATCTCACGCCGCAAGGCCTATCGCTCACTTCCGTTGGCCGAGGCTGATATCCCACCGCTGGTTGGCCGCAGTTTTCGCTGAACGCACGTGTGACAAACTGCAAACTCGTACTTCCTCTGAGGGAGGTTGGCGAGGTAAGATGTATGAGACGGATGGCGTAATGTATTCGCAGGGAAAAAGATGGAGAAATGGCTCTTGAAACATGATAAAGCTCCTGCTGAGGTGTCTTTGATAAATTATAATGAAGCTATGCAAATAGCGCCTGCAGCTGGGTCTCTAGCTTGTACTATTCAATTAGGCTAACACTTGAACTGGGTGAGAGATGAGTCCATCTGAAATGCATGCAAATTAAATATGCATTTTGATGATGAAATCAAACGCAATATTTTGAAGTTGAATAAAGACAAGAATACGTTCTGAGGTTAGTCCGTAATCTAAAATCAACACTTTCTCCTCGTAAACACAAACAGACAAAGATCCTCATGTTTCAAAGCCTCATAAAGGAAATTAATTTAAGTATTCATATTCCAGTCTTATATCTGGATCTGTGTCACAGAGCGACTCCCCTAAAACTACTCAAGTGTACTGGTTATAATTCATCACAGTGTCTTCTCTGTAGTTTCTACTTAACCAGATAAAAGGGAAAAAAATCAAATCCTCTTGTCAGAAAAATTATCTCAAGGGTTGAGTGAATATATCAAGAAAGTGCATTTCATAAATGAAAGCACTGGATAAAGAGCCATAAAACAGGTTTTCCCTTTAACAGTTGGGACAAATTCATGTTCTGAGTTCTGATGTGGGACGGAGGGGAAGAAGTTCAAAAAGCCCCGAAACCCTCCCACGCATTCAGTCCTTTTTCACTAAATATTTCATCATGAGGTTGTGCATGAATCAGCCATGCATTCAGGTTATACCCAGAGCAACGTGCGTGGTTTGTAACAACTTTCAGACAAAGCCACGAAGACTAATGTGCGACCCGAGTCATCAGAGGTGTGGAGACACTTTATATCAAAGGAGATCGTGATCTGCAAAATCAGCAGAGTTGATTTCAGAAAACATCACCGAGGTGTGCACCCGAAGAGAAAACATGTTGGAGGTGAAACAGACTTTTTCATCTCTCCGTTGTGCATCTTAACAGCTTCAAGCATATAAATAGGACAAATCAATTTTGATTTTTTGCTTCAACAGGAACAATTTTCAAAATATACTCAACGATCCGTGTCTACAGACGTAACAGTGAACAAGAGATGACTTCAATTGATGTTGGACATAAAATTGTCCCCTGTGTAAATTGTGGCCCCTTTAAGGCCACAGTTCAGACGGGTGACAGATATGTGTAGTACATTTATACTGATGATCAAATAAACTGCTATAAAGGATCAAATCTGGCTTTAATATAATCAATATTAAATCATAATCAACAAATGAATCAATTATCAAAATAGTTGTTTGCACATCACAGCTGGAAACACAATGTGTGCGACTGCAGAGCTGCTGCACCTGAACAAATGACATCATGCCAAAATTCTCTTCATGGCCAGAACATGTAAATTCTATGCAAATGATAGTATGATTCATTAATGCGTCATGCTGAGTGATGATGAGGTGAGTGGGAGTTAGTAGTGGCCACCGATGCTCGGCGAGGGAACAAACATCGCTGTGAGGGGAAAGTGAAAAAGCAGCAATTTCCTTAATTTACCCGTCGTGAGTGCTGACCTTTGCACAGACTTCCTGCCTGTGGCGTTAAGGAAGTGCACGTGTGCATGCATGGAGCGTCTGACATATGTACGCTAACCGTTTGTCTCTGCGGGCTACTGCAGACACAGGCGGCTAACTGAGGAGGAAACAGAGACACAGGGAGGAAAGAGCAGGCAGGAAGCTGCACTGGTTTAAAAATGCAATATCGTTTGAAGAAAGAAAGAAAGTTCAATACTAAACTATGTTCCACAGAGTTTAATCTCAGCTTGGACTGGGAGGCGACGCGTTATTTAAAATAAAGCCTCACAAACTGGGGATCAAGGACATTTTCTTTGGCAGCAGACAAATGATGCGATCGAGTTGCATTATGGGAAATGCAGAATTCAGCTTTTTCAGACCGATAATAGAGACGTAAGACAGGATATTCTATTCAGCTGCATCTGTCTCAACTATTTTTTCTCTATTGTCTCTCCATCTTTTCTCTTCATTCCTCCCACCCATACTGACCACCCACCACCCGAGTCGATATCAGACTGGCCAAATTACGATTTATTACATAAAAATGCCTTTACTGGGGATGTATGGACTCTGAGATCCCCACAATGCACGTGCACCCCTAACCAAATGACGGGTGGATTTCAATGGCGCATACGTAAACCTACACACACAGAAGAAGTGGTCCGACCGTCCCAGTGTCTGCCTCCCACCTCCATGTTTCCTCCTGACTTTACTTTGTGCTCACCAGGGGATCACAGACGCCGGCCACACAGGAAACTTCTACCACAACAGGCTCTGCAGTCTCCCTCTGCACCATTTGATCATTTGCTTATTAAGTTTTACTGTGCAGGTTGGTAGGAAACGTTTCGACTTAATTCAATCCGACCAGTCTGTTAGAGGCAGTGTAATGGCTACGATGCTTTTAAATGTGCAAAATTTGAGCCTGTTTAAAACGTAACAATGGAATGAGCCCATTTAATTAGCACCTTGACGACTCAACAGTTTCACCTGAACTTCCCACGATAGGAGAATAAAGCTCAGTCAGTCTCCGACCTGTGTAGGAGCAGGAACGATACACAAAATGTCTAATATCACGATCCAGCAATTATACAATAATCAATACATTGCAAGACAGTCAAATAACGATACGTCTAACTGGAGAAAACAAAACACGGAGAGAGCCTGTAACACGGAGATGAAGATGTGTTTCCAAATGTAACCGACTCGGCGTGGGTGTTCTCTCAGATGTGAAGTTCCCAATGTGTGTGTTTGAATGTGGAAACAGGCTCAGCGCAGCCCACAGAAATGTTCTCCCCACTGATGAAGTACGGCAGACGGTATTCAGACTGTAATTAAAGATGGACGACACGGCTCCACTTCCATCCACGACACAGAAATGAAGAAAAAATATCCCGAATGCAAACGCTGCCATCAAGTCACACTCCAACTTATCCTGCAGGTTTTACACTTTCTTGTACATTTATTGAAAATCTCTTATTTGGAAAAGTATAAAACCCTCAATTCATTCAGTTACTTTCTAGGAGAACATTTTATCGGTTGAGTCTCTAGAAGCTTTGCACAGCTGGTGTTAGAGTTCAGTTTTTATCTCATCAGACCAGAGAATGATTTTTTCCTCAGAGGCTGCAGCACAATTTTATCATGGACCTCAACAGGGAGTTTGTTGGGCTTCGTGTTTTTGGTTCTGATGTGCTGTGAGGTGTGTGTGTGTGTGTGTGTGTGTGTGTTTCTAAACTATGTCTAATGGATTCATTTGGCCACAGGTGGACTCCTGTCGAATTCTAGACACAAATCATGGATAATTAAAGCGAAGCAGGAGGCACCACAGGACAGGGTCTGAATACTTCAGACAAAAAGGGAGGTTTTAGTTTTTAACAAATGTAAATTATGAAAATAATCACTCTCTAATTATGGATTATTGATCGTAGATTGATGCGTAAAAATGCCAAATGCAGCATCACATCAGTCCTATGTAGAAACAAGTGTATGCTGCACATGACTACTGTGTCGCTCGACAGCAAAGACTCCAGAGAGGATCTGACACGAGAAACTGGGATGCACCATATTTTCTCCTCAATAAATAATGTTGTAATCCCCTTTGATGACAAAGGGAGCGCGAGAGACGTAGACGCATGAAGCCCCTGCTTCATTAAACAGCAGGATCGAAGCAGTGAACCTCAGAGGCAACAATAACTTTTATTCTGTCTCAGTTCTCCATCTCCTCTGGTTCTGAAGTACACGACCACAGGATCTACCTTTTAAAAGCAGGAATAGCCTTCATCCTTGACTGAGCAGCGATCTGACAAATAGACAGGAAGCTGAGGTCAGTGTAGCATACCGTACCTGACACGGCTGGATCTTGTCCGATGCAACATGAGCTCCGTGTCTTCATACCATCTCTATTAAAAAAAAAGAAAAAGACAGGAAAGCTCATATTTGAGAAATAAAAGATGTTGGAAAACAGGGGACGGAGGAGATTATATGAGAAGATGCAGCATGAATGTGCGGCTTTAAGATTTCAAATAAACAGAGTAATACAGAGGCGTCATTTGGAATCTGTAAAAAGCATCTTGTGAATAAATGAATTGTAATTTACTTCACTTGAACCCATTCTGTCAGAAAAGCAAACAATGAATGCTGTGTTGTATTTACATCTCGTCTCCTTCGTGCATAAAGCTCAGCTCGACTCAAACGTGTCTTGACACGGACCATTAGGGAAACTTTTAACTGTAATAAGCCAATAACTCATCAGCATGCTGCAGTCGCCACCGTGGCAACAAACAGGCGGGCAAGGTGGAGGGATCTATTGATGTGTGCTCTTTTATGAGAACTTATCATTCAAGACCCACTTACGCTCTGAAAAGGTCAAATGAAATTCTCTCATATCAAATTGAGTTTTTCTCTTGATTAATAAGCCTCTGTGGCGCGCGCCGAATGTCAAAACTGTTTCAGGTTTTCATTCACCCTTAAGCGGGAACACAACACAGATAATACAGCTTTAATTAAAATATCCCATAAGAAAATATTTTAATTAAGGGACCTGGTGCAATCACAGGACAGAGGATTAGGGCCATATTGAGAAACAGTTCTGAGATTACGTGAAGTAAATTTTATAGTTACAGGAATAAAGTCGTAATATATTGAAAATAAAGTCATAACATTACAAAAATAAAGTTATAATTTAATGAGTAAAAAAAGTTGAAATATCACAAGAATAAAGTCGTAATACTGTAAGAATCACCAACGTTTACAAAGACCATGGTTAGAATTGTGTTGTTGTACGTTTGCCTCAATCCATCAAGAAGGATCATAAAAGTCATGAGGATTCAACCTCTGGGGACCATCAATGGAAGTCTGTCCAATAATTAGGGCTTCAAATGTCTTGTTTTGATACGAAGATGTTTATAATAGAATAAAACAGAGAACAGTTGTTCAAAAAATGACACAAACAATTGATTACCGATCAAAGTAGTCGACTGACGATCAATAAATTGACAAATCGCTATTTTGGCCACAGAGCAGAACTTTTCTTGAAGGCTTAAAAAACACAGATGGAGAGAGAAAGGCAAAATAAAGTATAGACCACAATGGTGCGTCTATCACACTGCCATCGAGTTGAAGAGAAAGGCAAAGCCACGTCAAAATCAGGGTATCGCCCTGTCACCGCTGCCGCTAACAGGCAGAGAGCAGTGCGAGCTGGGTAATTGGGAAGGCCGTCCTGCCCCCGGACTTTGAGTGGCATGTCTCGGCTGCGGCATGAAGTCAGTTACTGATAGGCGGCGAGATGCACCGAGCTGTCAGCTCAGCTCCGGAGTAATCACAGGCCTCCATTAACAAGCCCGCTGGAGCTCTCAGAGGAGGAGGAGGAGGAGGAGGAGGAATATAGAGATGGAAAAAAAATTTTTTTAAAACACATGTGGCTGCACACGTTTGTGAGCCCACACAAAAACACTGGGGTAATGACTTTGCGAGCTGGCATAGTGGACAGATGCAGAGAAGTACTTATAAGTGCGACGCAAACATAGTCTGGTGGTTCATCTCCGTAGCATGCCCCTGTTTTTATCCATTTACATAATATTTCTGATGCTGGGAGAGAATTTTGCCATTTGGAATCCATTACGCCCCCCATCACCGTGCTAATCAGCATATTATGAATTATTGCTGTCGTTACAGTGGGTGGCCGAGAAATATCAATAGGTCTTAATTATTCACCAACGAGGAATTATAAAAGGGAAAGCAAATGCACCTTTGGTTTGTGCTGCCAGCAGTGATTAGACCCGGTATCTCTCTCTCCTTCGGGAACAGAATTAGGCTCCGTTTCTCTTGCCGGTGAAAATCACTTCTAAAGCTGTGATGAGCGATGAGCTTGTGTTCTCCCTGCGAATTTACTCCTGGTGTTGTTTGTCTGCGTAAGAGCCCATAAAACTGTGCACTGCAAATAGTCTCTCAAAGTATAATTTCTGGAGTGTAATTGTTATTGTTTCTATTTGCAGTCAAAGAGATTATTGGGGGTAGTTTTGCTGAAGTTCCTTTTCAATGTGTGGTTTGTACACAGGTTTAAAAAAATAATTTAAGTATAATTAAAAACCTTGTCTTTAATTTGGGTATTTAATCCTAATTAATTTATTACAAAGCAGCGACAGAAACTCATAAGTCTGCTTTTACAGAAAAGATGAATAGACAGAAGAAAAATAAGTCTACTGTATGTTCACACCAGGGATCAGACAGAAATTGTATTTCAATGGCAGGATTGACAATAAAGTTGACTTTGATTACAGGATACTCCACGTGTGTATAGAAAAATGAAAGCATTCAAATGTACAGAAAACATCAAATAGCATCTTACAAAGGACGATCACCATCCTAGTGGCTCTGAGGTGATTTCATATTCTGTCTGAACTGCCTGCAGGAGGGTCAAACAGCTTCCCCCCGACCTCACACCTCTCCAGATCAAATGGGATGGATGGGTGCAGGTGTGTGTGTCCGTGTGCGACCACTTATGTAACTGACAATTCAACATTCACACCCACTTCGCACCACGAGCAGCGAGCTGTGCGGAGGTGAGAACTTCTCTCGTTACCTTGACACGAGTACTTATGGCAGTTTTACCATGAGCCACTATGAACGCCTTCCCGGAGAGACTGAGCGACTGTAACGACAAGACCTAAGTCTAAGAAACTATTCTGACAGAGTTTTACCATTTACCAATTACAGTGAACACAACCCATCAATTACCAATTAACACAAAGTGGAGCTGATGTGCACTTGATTCATTTTAAAGGTATTGATCATAAACCAAAGATTTCAGCTTCTGGATTAAAAGGGTTTTAAAAGCCATCAGCTGAACAAGAGTGAGACACAGAAACAATTAACAGCGACTGACTGTTAATCTCTCGAGTTTGTTAACGAGGAGATTTAATTACTCTCACTGCTTTTGATCCAGAGATAAATAGTCAATCAGTCCTGTAACTCAGTTTCCCTTAGTGTTAATCATTTCAAAAGGGCTGAAAAATATGTGTATGATGTGTTATACACATTTGTTTGCATGAATATGTATGAATTATATTAGTAGGTATCATAATTGCAGGTCGGTGAGGTCAAACTCATTACAGTGGACTTTCTTTGAAAGATAAAGGCGTCAGCTGAATCCACAAAGTACTGCAGGGTTCCTCTGACCTTTCACAACGAGCTGCCAATCACATCTCTCTCCGTCTAAATGGAGACGTGGTGATTACAGCCGACATGATTCAGAGCTGCTAACTGCCAGCCTTCAAGAGGAAATTTAATTATAAAAAAGAGTGAGTAGGGCACTGAAGAGATGACTTCCACAGAATCGAGAAAATACTGTCATTCATCGAGGTGCTCACTGATCAGTTTCCACGATCCAGTGGCCGATAGAAACCCCCGTCAGGTTTCTAGTGTTTCCACGACGACTCGACATTCCAACAATCCTGATTTCAGATGGCATATACAGGGATTATGGGTTTATTTAAATGATTCCACAGGAGCTTAACGCTCGACAGATACTGAGCTCAAACATCAACCCACAGTTTTCCTCGTGCTAAATACTTAACACAGAAAAGACACAAGACACTCATCTCCACTCACTATGGAGTTAAATGGTCAACCGTTTCAATGCACATGGCTTTATTCCAGTCCAATTAGGATCTGATATCCTGCCAATTAAGTTCTTAAACACAAAGATTTATGCCGAGAAGACAAAACTCATGACGACCTGAAAAAGGCCGTAAAAACTCAAATATTACATTACTTGAAGTGAAGTCAAATGTTCACTTACAAGGTTTTAAAAACTTTTGACTGACACTGTACATTCTTTCTCAAAGTCTCACCAAGTGGTGTCAATTAGTGACTCGTGTTCCGATGTTACACTAAGTCCTGCACTGGAGACCTCGGTAGAGAAGTAAAAAGGTCTCTTCTTTTTATTTCTGTCTGAATACAATTATGGAACAGGCATTTACAGAAAGACAACCCGGATGGAAATGTACTCGAAAGTACAGTATTCACATAATATCCACTTTGCATTTACATTTATCCACTGGATGGTAAAGACCTCTTTAGTCGTTGCCCATTATCAAGCTGTTGATGCATAGTAAATCTCGAAAATGAGGCTTCCTGTGTGTCATGCTACAGTGAGCACTCCTCCTTTCTCTCCTGCCGTCGGTGCCAAGAGAGCAGCTGCACTCAGGAGGAGCAGAGAATGAGGTCACATCTCCCCGGTTTGCCTTTGTAACCTTTCAGTTCATAATGATGGTGAGTGATACGCTCTCCAGGCATTCCTCAGCATTGGAGTGTGTCATCGTCATTCTGCTAAATACTTTCCTTTCAGCCTATACTCGCCATCCACCATTTTTCCCACCATGCAACAGAATATGGTGAACAATAACACAGGAGTTCTACCTGAGGCAACTTATTGTAATTTTGAAGGCTTCAAAATGAGATAATTGGAGTCTGATATATTGCATGTGACACGTGAATGAGCAAACAAATTGTGCACCCCCTTCAGTCCTGTAATAATGTGGTGAGAGACAGAAAAGTCCAAATAAATTGTGTCCACTTAGAGATTTTTCAGGGATGGAAGAGTTAAGTGATTGCTGCAATTTCTGCCTGGGCTACTAAAAGCCCCTATGGACCAAAAACTAAATGTGACTGCCCCAAACAGGCCTGAGCACAAAACAGTTTGTCAAGAACTGCAAAATCACTACATCACATACCAACAGTCCCCCAACATTCAATCAGGCTGCAAAAAAACTCAATGTATTCATTGTTAATAGGTCATATCAACAATGCAAGTGTTTGCAGATCATTTGACTTTTCCTGGACATTTCTAGATTCAGTTGTAGGATCTATTTTACATCTGGCAGTTTTTCCCGTGTGTCTG